TCCTATCTAAGGACGGGTGTGAAACCTGACACGTGGCTAACAATCCTTGATTCATATTAATAAGTGTCTGTAATGATACATTACATACAGTAAGAAAATTGAATATTTGCAAGAATGAAAAGCAATAATCACTTTCTTTAATCAGTAATAACATTTTGAGATTTAAAAAAAAAAAAAAAAAAAAAAAAAAGAATACTTACCATTAATTGTCTAAATCCTTCGAAAAGAGATTCAGTATCAGTACTTGAAAGATTGTTAATTTTTTGGATAACATTAATTGCCTCTTTTGATATATTATCAATTGAATCCATAATTAAATCAATAATAGCAGGATATTTGTGCTTCAGTTCTGCTAATTTTTCTATTAATGCCTTTGTACTTCTACTAACTCTTGTATCGACTAGTAAAATTTTCATAGTTTGTGTATTGGCTATTGGTTTTATATAATCGCCCTTTTTAAACTCTATTATTGATCCATATGTACAAATAGAATTATCTATTCCAGATGGAGTGCCATGCATAATTCTTTCGCAACTTAAAGCATATTTTGAAATAATTTCTAAATCAGACATATCGAAGGTCTTGCAAATACTTTTTTGTAAATGTGACCAATGTAGAAAACATGCAGCAAGAGTAACTGCAAAGGAAGCAGAACTACCAAGACCAGAACTAATTGACAATTCAGTATTTAAGTGAATTTGAAAAGGTTTTATTTTAATGTCATCCCTCTGTATCATATAAATAAAAAGATAAAAGAATACTTCTAAACTGAATTTCTGTTGCACATTGCTATAACCAATATTACTAACAAACTCTTTTATTTGATTATAATATACGTCATACTTTTCTTCAGACTTTCTATTTGTAAAAAAGAAATTCTGTACTTGATGTAGAGATACATTTACAAATAAATTCACTTTAGGAAAACATAATTTAATAACTTGTTCTGTTTCTGGCAATTCGGTAAAATCTACAGTTGTACGTAAACCTAAACTAGCTGCAACAGCAGTTTTTCCATATACTACCGCATGTTCTCCATAAAGAATAACTTTTCCTGGTGCAGAAACTTTGAATTGAATCATTTTATGTTTCTTTAGTTTTGTGTATACAACCGCTAATAGAACAAAATTTTATTTTTAAATTAATATAACAGAATATTAATATAAAATGGAGTAAGTAAGTAATTATTTGTAAGAATATAAACGTATAAAATGTTATACCTTTTATAGTTTAGTATAATCAGTTGACATTAATGATTTATTTTTATGTATAGCAAAATAGATCAGTTTCTTTGCTTATTCCACTGTTCTGGTGTTAATGTTTTTTGAGAAAATGCATGGATCGTTTTGAGTTCTTCTTCCAAAACTGCATTTACCAATCTGAAATATCAATATCAATGTAAACAGGGAAACAAATTTATATATAGTTTATAGAAATCCTAAAATATTTAATCTATATCTTTTTAGGTATATAAAACTGTAATACCTGTGACGTTGTAGTAACGGTTTACCATCAAATGCATCAGAAACAATCAGTACAGAAAATTTATCACCACAACCATCAGACTGATCTACCACTTCCTGTAACATTTAAAATGAAGAAACAATTGTATATAGTATAATAAAAGATATATTGGTCTATAAAATATTTGTTTCCGTAAAACTTATTTCATTGTCACATGAAATAAAAATTTCTTTTTAGATCACATGAAATGCTTACAAGGCAGTGTCTATTTTACTACTGGCTTGCACTAAACCCGTATAAGTAATGTTGTTGTTATGCTAATTTAGCAAAGTAATATTCAATAGCGGAGCAAAGTTCAGATCCATATGGATTATATAATTTACAAAAAAAAAAAAATGCAATTGTCTACTACTTGTTAATAAAGTTGTTGTTACAAATTATTACATTATTATATACATGTATTATTACAATAATCTAGACATATTATTGTGACTTGTTTATCTGTATATTTGCTTATGTAAAATATAATATGTCAAGAAATACATCACCGAACCTGTACGAATAAAAGCGATTTAATATAAAAACTGTAATTAAATGTGCATATTTTAGATAGAAAAACATTTACAAATTTATGTACAATGAAAATGCATAAATTTATGGTTCTTATTTGTGACTATATTGTAATTTATTTACATTTAAAATGAAACATACAACTATAAAAAGATTAATAAAAAATGAAAATAATATTATTATAAGAATTTTACAAATTAATATTCCTTCAGACTTTTATTTCCTAAGGACATATGAATATGACCTTGATAAGTTGATGCTCATTTACAGAAGACATGTATTTAAAATTGAAATACATCCTTTGTAAATGAAGTATATTCTCCAAAGGATGCATAAGTATGTCATTAACGAAAATATGTATGACGTAACACTTTATAGAACGTTTAAATGTTGTAAAATAGATGTATAAGTTTTTATAATAATTTGTATAGTGTCGTTCTTCTACTGCATAGTGCAAGCATTCTTACTTAAGTATGCACTGCAACATAAGGGTTAGAGAATATGGTATTAATGCACATTATTTTATTTCAGATTCATATATTTTTTAATGTACAAAACTGCTTATAATTGAAATATATATAAAAAATAATGAAATGCCCACACGAATATACAGAAACTAATAACATAAATAAATCTGGATACTTGTTAGGAGGTTTTAGAAAACGACTAACAATAGATAATATTATTATTCCCAGGATCGAACCATAAAATAAAATCGCTATCCAAAGATTGAGATTATGGTTTAATAATACATTTAAGTTGTTTTTACAGTAATTTAATATATCTTTTCTAATTTTTCCAAACACCGATTTAGCTTTTTTGTTTCTTAGTTTAATTTTAATTTGTCTTTGATTGACTACAGTATGTCTATTCCATGTTGAATTAGTATTGTCTAATAACTTAACGTTAGTAAATATATCAAGACACGTCCAAGAAACAAAATAAATGTTAAAAATCATGCTAGCACAATATGCCATGTATAAGTCATCTTTTATAAATAAAGGTAACATACTAAAATGTGAAATTATTAGAAACCAAAAACAAGGAAATGGATCATCTTTAAAATACAATAAAACTGGAATAGCGACTAGTAGAATTGACTTTTCGTGTACTTGAAATGAAAAAAGGAAAAATGCTAATGCGCAATTAACAAGGGAGATAATAAATCTCTCTTTTTGTGGATTTAAATATACATTTATACAACTTGGTAAAACTGCACATGTTGTCGTTATCAAACAAATTTTAGCTAACTGAATATTTGTGAAACCATTACGCAATTTATAAAGTATATTGATAGCACACCAAATGTTGGCAACCTTATCTTCAAATACACCCCTACCAACTGGAAATAACCGAAATATAACGTGTGCAAGTGTTTCTAAATTCTTAAGAAAAGGTAACCATATGATAATAAATGACAAAACTACCGTGACTGATATGTACAATAACATTTTTAAACGGAGTAACCAAAATCTGTTGTTTATAGGAGAATATTTCCCAAGTATGAAAAAAAAAATTGGTAGCGCATGATAAAGTTCCATTTGTTTATAATTTAATGCTGCCACAAATAGAAATGATCCAGGGATAAATGAATTTTCAAGCATTGCTGTAACAGCGCAAATAAATAACCCTAAAGATGCACAATTATATTGAAAATGACCGTAATCTATTAAAATTAAACCTGGATAATTCAACATGATTAAAAGAATAATATGTTTTCTATTAAAACCAAATAATTTGCATGTCTCTTTTTCAGAGTCTTCTGAAGTTTGATTAGTTAATACAAAATATATTATTGATGGTATATAAATTAAAATATCTACACATAAAACTGTTAATCTCATAAAATATTTGTGATCTTTGGATGAAAAACCTCTAGATTCGTGTAATTTTACATACGAAGAATTAATACTATCGGCAATATAGCCCAGCACAAGACTATGATAGGCTGTTAAAGGAGGATAATCTAATCCCCAATATTGTAAATCATTGTCTGTCGTATTGGTATACCATTTGTCAATTGGAAGATTTAACGTTATTTCTTGCCAATGTCGTTGTGCTTCGTAGTCTCCAAACATTGGAGACTTTTCTTGGCCACTGTATGGATGGTACGTAATGCACCATCTTAAAAGGAGGGCAAAAAGGGAGATTAATATAATCTGCAAATTCCCTTGCATTTTTAATCATATACGGTTGATAATCTCCAGCAATTTATATCCCAAGCATACCCTTGGTTGCAATTAACAAATGTTTCAGAAACAACGTCTATGAACCTATATAAGTTTATAGTAGAGAATTCGAGGTTAGAACTAACACAACATTAAAGAAACACGAATAACGTGTATGCTCACGTAATAAAACGTAAAAAATACGTACCACATGTGAAGCGTTCAATCCCTCGATTAATTTATTTTTAATATAACTCTCAGAATAGGGCATATTTAACCATGTACTATTTGAAATCTGGACTTCACTCCCGGGGATTTTTTGAATACGTGGAAATTTGTGTTTGATATAGTATATGGACTTTGCTTACAGTATTTACATATACGTAAATGTAAAACAAGTGTATAGGTGAATAAAACTGGAAGTATATGATTCTATTTTTTTTCTTTTATAATGAAAATTGTTTGTCTATGTCTATATCAATCTGACGTCAAATATATGGCAACGTTTAAAGTTTGAATTGAATGATTTTGATTTGAACCTATAATCAGAATGGTGGCCAGATTGCACCTGTGAGTAGACAGTGTTATTAGATCTGCTTTTTAGTAGTGCTGAGGTGTTGAGTAGTGCTCAGGAGGACAGCTGGTGCCCTCGTACTAAAAACTATGGCTGCATTCCACGGACATAGGAATATTATGTTCATAGCTACGAGCAATTTTGTCGATTTTAAAAAATAGGATTAGGGCTGGGGACACCCTCTTATTCGTCTATACCTTTTTAATTATAAACAAGAAAACACGTTGGTAATATTAAATATATTTTATCTGCATTTTATACAAAATAGCACCTATTCTCTGCAACGACTATCGTTATAAAAATACTTTTCAAAACTACCATTTTGCACTTTATGTCCTATTAGAATTCTAATATTGCAGCGTATGTGAAACATACAATACAGCAATGCTGCCTTTTACAACTTGTATTTGAAGTAAACTATAAATACCTTAACAAGTAATTTATAATCGTCATGAAATGCTTGAACTTACAAGTTAAGAATATTTGTATACATATACAGTATGGTTCTTAATGTGTGGCTGATTTTTTGCTTACTCTTCATAAAGCGCCCACATATTAAGAAATACCTTGTATATCGCCACTATACTGGAAAAGCAACAGCAAATGCTTCACATTTATAATTACACTAAGGATACTCAAAGATCTTATAATGTTTGCAAAAATGATTATGTTTAAGAGAATCAAGAATTTTCATTGTCTCTGGTACTTTTTTAATAAGAGGCTTTTATCGTACGTTCGCAAGAAAAATAAACAACAAAAACTGTATTTATTAATTTAACATGTCAAGTATTTAAAGTATATAAAGAGATTGATATTTCACAATTCCTTGTTATACAAAAAATAAGAATTCTTGAAAAACACTTTTTTTCTCTCGCACGTACAACCCCTTAAGTACATAACGATTATACTATCATTTTTATTTAATCATTTCCTTCCTAACAATTATTGTGAAATAATTTTTTTTTTTAAGAAAATGTAATTCCTTCTGGTTCTTTCCAAACGTACCAAAGATAATTTAAATATATGATTTCAGCACATCCTAGTCAAAATAACACGTTTTATCAAATAAACTGCTTAATTCACCTAATAAGAGAGCGATAACTTTTTCCAACAGATGTGTAAATCAATTATGGTTGGTGAATCAGTCGTCAGGTATGGGAGTATTGCAATTTCCATGCCATAATTTTGTTTCCGAATTGCAACTCGAATAGTTTCCAAATACATCTGCGTAGCCACGGTCTCGCCACCACGTACATAACTGCCTGTTCCATCCACAGTCTATGGTGCGAATCAAATCAGGCCTTTCCATACCAAGCAGCGTATAAAAATCTTGATCTCCAAGGTGACCCTACACGCAAATTCCAAAATTAGAAATTTATTAAAACACCTATTTACTTATATTTATTACCTTGAAGTGATATTTCTCAGTCATCGAGTCAATGCTTTCCTTCTGAACAATTTTATTGTAGACAGAGGAATTTCTTAACCTATCCAAATTAAAAAGCACCACTCCACTGTTGTAACCGGAGTAACCACCCGATGTAGAAGGTTCTCCAAACATTGTGTTAGGATGCTTATTACGGTACAGATACAAAACATGTCTGTAAACCGGAGTAAGTTCTGGTGCCAGACCGAACAAGGCTTGACTTCCGAAGGTATTGAATTCTTTGAAAAGATCTTTAATGTCTCTACGGAACTTGGTATCTGCATCAAACATTGCTGCGAGACTTTGTTCAACTGGAGCTACTCGGTGCAAACCCAATGATAAGAAAAACAAAGCATCCGAGTAGTAAGTTCCAGGCTTGCTGCTGAAGTGAGGAGACATGACCGATACAATGTCTTCCAGTTGCGATGCCAGATCGTGCACATCATAATATTGTATCTAGAATAAAAAAACCTAAAGTATCGATATCAGCTTAAAGGGGGACATTCGAGTAAAATGAAAATTTACTCAAAAGAGTATTTCTCTCATTAGTTTCCTACAAAAGTGCAATGCAAGTCTCTAACAAACACAAAGAGACCTTTTGATTATAATTTATCAGTGGTGCACCTTTATTTATAGTTGGTATACCTTTGCAATTAGAAACCAGTAAGAGACTCTGAATAGCAAAGACTGCGAATGCACTCCTACCTTCATAAATTTTCCGGTAGAGAACAGAACACCATTCAAAATTTGTTCCGCGATATTTCTGCTGTCATTGTCAGTTATTACATGAAATGCAATATCAACAGAAGATAATCTCAGCAAAGACTCGGTAAAGATCTCAAATTTCCTTTTCATTGGTGAGTTACTAGCGACTTTAGTGAATATACACCAGACATTATAGTAAATTTTGTCATTCGTAAGGAGTATCGCTGAAATCGTATCTGCTCCAAAGCTGGACTCTGTCGACGAGACATTCTCACGCCCACTGGTAGTGCGTGCTGACCAAAGTATACCATTTGACGTCTGATAACAGTAAAACAGCACTAAAATCACAGTGAGAATCGTCAAATTGATTAGCACCTTGCTTAGCAAGAGCATTTAATTATTCGTTCATGATCAAGCTTCCTCTGTGCCGTATCTCTTATTTAGAATTATACAAGCCTCTTTATTCAACGTTATAAACTAAACAGAATAAATGTTTAATTTAAACATATTCTCCATTTTGAAGTAATTTCTTCAGCATATAAAAATCCTAATGAAAATTATTTTAGTTTGTCAGACAAAAATTTCTAATAAAAACTACTTATTGGAGCGTTGCAGATTTGTTATGCACCGATGAAGAATCACAACATAAATATATGATGAATTTGAAAATAAATTTCTAAATGTTGGAGAGAAATTGAAAACATAAACAATTTGTGTTGATTTGTGTAGTTGCAATTGGCTTGTACTCTATGGCAAGGGTTCCAAGCTCACGTATTAAAAGTTGGTATAAAGTTTGTAGTGCCGCATGGGAAAAATTGACACAACTAAAATGTGGAGCGCATTCGCGTGTATGCATATACACCAGCATACTCGCGTTCTGATAATTTGGACCTGTTGCTTGTATTTATAATACAAAAATGATTAAAAATGCATTTTAATTAGATGCTGTTAATCAATTATTAGAGGCGCCATCGGTGACAAAATGTGTGTAGTAAAAATAGTTTCCACCTTTTCTATAAGATGACGCCACCGATACCTTATAATCAATTATTCCTAATTTTTGTATAAATGTATAATTAATACGATTCTTTGCTTTATAACACCACAATATATTAGTTAATATGTAAAATTTGTCATTTTTATGAATAATTTCTTAATGGAGCCATAATTATCGACTTTTTAATAAGTGGTGGCATCTAGCGAGAACAGTGGAAACTATTTTTTCCTACAAACTTGGGCGTTTAACCACCGATGGCGTCACTAATAGTTGATTACCGGCATGAAATTAAAATGAATTTTTAATCGTTTTTGTACTACAAATACAAGGCTAGAGGTTCAAATCGATAATGTATTATGTTTAACATTATACGTTACAAAACGTATGTACGTAAATAATAGGAAAATTAATGATTGTTTGCTATGTAGGTTGGAAAACCTTCCACCGCTAGATGGCAAGTTCAGAAATCACGTGACAGTTCGATTTATGTGAATTTATCGAATCGAGTTTCGATAATCGTTCGGATTTACTAAAACGGCGGATTCGATGCCGGCTCAACGACAGTTTGCAAATGGTAGTGCATACTTAATGTTGTAAAGAAAGTGAATTTTGTGCAACATTTTGCAGCATAAGCGCAATATAGTTACAAGATCCGGTTGGACGGCCTTATGATTACTGTCGATGGATATTACGTTGTTTGGTAAGAATGAAATGTCAAGTAATATGTATATCCAAATGGAGTAAGTAAATCGATGGCTGTAATGGCGTTCTTTTTTGCGTTTGGACGGTAGATAGATATCTATATAGATCGTTTTTTATTATAATAAGAATAACTATAGTTACTTAAAGGATTAAAGAGTGGCAGTTTCATAGTCGTATTATATACTCTCCTGACGAAAGAGATAATGCGCATGCGCGAGCTGGAAGCAACACTGGCACTGGCATTATAACCTGTACAATGTTTACTGCATCACTGCTCATTGCTTTTTAATACGTGATGCTAAATTATACTGAATTGGACAAAAAGGAATTAATTTCATTTGAAACAAGTAAGCTTTTCAAGATTTTTTTCAATAAAAATTTATTTTCTGTTTTATTCTTGACAAAACACACATCGCGCGAATGTATCTATTATACACATGTCTGTGACGAATACAGGCTCCAAGGCCTTCTTAGGCCATTGAAGATACACGGAAACGAATGAAAAACTTACTTCCAGATTACTGGCAAAATGTTCGTTTCCACGAATTGACTATCGAAGTAACATGAAATCCTTTCGCTATTATAGACGAATATTGTATCATAGAAAAACTCGAAAAAGGGCACACGATATCGTTGTTTCTTCATTTAAATTTTGTAGGAGAAGAAATTTTTAGGGGAAAAATAAAACGATCGTTTGTGCTTTACCAAAACATTTTCACAATACTTGCTATAATAGCTTGAATTTTCATCAACAATTGTCGCTATGAAGCTAACACGTCTTTACGATTCAATATGAACTGAGTAGTTTTCACAATCGGTTTGATATGACACAAGTTTTATATTTTTTGCACCTTATGGCGATTGAGATTTTGATTTAAGAATATTGCAGTTGTTTCGATTTTGTTAATAAGAAACAAGAAATGATTTTTTCTAGTAAAATCATTTCTGGTTTCTTACAAACTCCCAAAGAGGTTTACAAGTTGCACTCTTCTCTTAGAATGTTGCGATATATTACGACGTTATACACGTGAATATAATTTTTCTGTATTATAATATGAATATTCGAAACTTTTCACCTTCGACTCATTATTGTATAAATGTTTGGTTGTTCGAATCTCCAACAATATTTCTTTTTAAGCTCGACTAAACGATGGCCCATTCTCTTTTGATTCATGGTTATTAAACATCTATAGCTGGACCAGCCAGCAACATCAAAATACATTTTCGTTATGACAACATTTAATGAAATTGTTCTATTAGCTAAGATCGAGTTTCAGTTGATAGATGACTAACTTAACTTTTCGAAAAGTTTCATTCGTCACGATAGTCTACAGGAAAGTTATTCGTTAATGTTGTTATGGAGTTGTTTTCTTTTTTTAAACGTTTACAGCCTGTTAGAATAATAGGTATTTGAAGTCTTAAAGAAACAAGAAGACTTTGAAAAAGAAATTTCAGAATTTCATTATTTTATTATTATTGTTTCTTTTTTTTTTCTTTTTCTTTTTCTCACCAAGCAACCACTTGAATTATCATTTTAGTTGTAGTTCTAGTTATGCATTACCGTCAGATCGTAATTACTAGATAATTCCATGGAATTACCAAGAATAATGTAGTAATAATGTAGTAATTTTGTTAATACTTTGAAATGGATGGATTGAAATTGACTGGCTTCATAGTTGTAGTATTAATCGATTGAAATGAAAGGTGTTCGGAAAGACTAATTAGATAAGTAGAAGAATTCGTAAGAAATAAAAACGAGTAGTGATTACGATTTAAGTCGATGGTTATTTCGATGAATGAAGTAAATTTGTAAGAAAAACACATGTGTTTGAATGTTGTTTAGAAAATCGGACATTTCATATGCATCGCCGTGCATAAAACGTAATTAACTCGTTAAAATATTTGTACTTTTTATCTGATAGAATAGAACGTGTTAGAAGCTGACAGTCTTAGGAGAGATATTATCAGTCGATATAAAAAGAAATACGTGTCCAATATTTTTCGATGGTCTGGCTGCGTTCGAAATTGAAATAAAATCGGCGTGTAACAGAAATGTTTGAAAGAACGAATCATTGAGGAAAATGAGAGAGAAAAATGAGAAATGGAATAATTTAAATAGCTTGAGGTTTGACGAGTTGTCACGGTTAAATGTTCGGTTTGTCATTAAATTACTGTTTAGTGTTTGATACTAGGCGGATTTTGATTGTGAAATCGGGACTGCTTTCAAAAATATGACAATATTTCTTTGTTTCTCTTGTAATATAAATATAATTCTGTTAGGCTCGTGTCGTACGATCAAACGAGAACGTACGCGTTTCCTTTTGCGCCACGATTCCTCGAATTTCTCGAGAACACGCCTCAAACGGTACTGTTGTTCGAGGTTACAGGCCTGTCTACGTTGACGTTATTGTTAGAGTTTGTTTTCGCATCGAGGTTGCTTCCAAGTTTCGACGAGTCTCGAGGCCCGTCCAGGAAGTACGTCACCATACTGCCCTTGCCTTTGACCTGAATGCTGCCACGGCAGGTTAACGGATATCCCTTTACGACTAGAATATCACGAACCTCCTGGGTAACTTGAATAGCGTCCAACACTCCCGTTGACTCCATTCTCGAGGCCACGTTAACCGCATTACCCCAAATGTCGTACTGCGGCTTTCTAGCTCCTATTACTCCGGCAACGACCTATACCGAAACAGATTCAATAATGAATATTTGATTTGTTTGTGTGAAACGGGGTTAGGTGAAACTTGAATTAATCGAATATCTTTGTAATTACGACATTTACGTAAATGAACAAATTTACATTATAACAATTAGCCCCGTTATCGATTAACGTTACCGGTCCGATATTGATGCCCACACGTAACCGGAAGTTGTTGAAGCTGTGTTCATTAATGAAAGCCAGTTGTTCGCGTATCCTGAGTGCGTAGTCGGTCATAGCAGTGACGTGCTTGTAATCTCTCATGTCGCAGGTGTTCTTCGTCAGACCTGGGAAAAAGAGGAGTATCCTCGTGAAAATACTCGAGAGCCATAAATACCGTTTCGAACATCGATGTTTGTACTTTTCTTCGATGTGTTAGAAGTCGCGTTCTATCCTATTAATGAAATATTTTTAAACATGTCCTTATTCAAATATCTACACGGTATAAAAATCGATTTTTATCTATAGTAACGTTAATTCTTTTTACACGTTGAATATCGTGAATTATAATTAATTTGTATGAAAAACGGTTTCAACCCACTGAAACCTCGAAAATCCAAGTGTTGACGAGTGTGTACTTGTGACGCGTTTTGTAGGGAAATGTGAGTAAAGTAAACACATAGTAGTTGCTCACCGGATGCAGCCATATATGTGGCGCCTGTGCTCTTGATTTTCTCGATGTACTTGTACTGCTCCTCGGCGAGCAACTCGTCGAAATCGGCGATAATCTCGTTGAGAAGCCTGAGACACTCCTTGCCTTCGTTATTCGCCTCGAGTTCCACGTAAAACTCGGAAAAGTTCGGTATAGAGGCGAACATTATGCAAACAAAGTCGCACTGCTCGTGGTACAGCTCCTGGAAATGGTAATTTTACGCGAAACATTATTGAAATTGAACAACACTAAATCAATCGTCTTCTTACGAAAATAATAGTGCCGATCAGAGATGGGACGCTATATAATAGAGTATTTTCGTGAAAATATTTTCTTACGTCTGAATTGGCAGTCGATAAAAAATGTGCCGCCACATGCTCCGGAAGTATGTTCGCCAACAGCTTCTGATTGTAGGCCTTCAGGTGCTCCATTTCCTCCTTCTCCTCCGTTGCTTGGAGCTTCCACAAAAAATCCAGTCTGCGGCCACATCAAATTAACGTAATCAGTGTTGCGATGTAAATTAACCAATTAGTATTGGAAATACTAAAACGTAGATCTCTTCAACTCTAGATAATACAATCGTAATAAGTGTTGGTACATTTTTGATACGGTATAAGAATTGAATTTTAGCTGGAGTAAGAGGTAGTTGAGAGAGGTTTTTTCAAGACATTGAAACCTCCAAAATCCAAGTGTTTGTATCGGTCCCGCCTAACATTAATATGTGTATTGTATATCAGCTCTTCTCGACCAAACTCCAAATAGTAAATACCGTATGGCGTCTAAGGCACGGGCCTCTCTTCCTTTTCTTCCCCCCCCCCCCCCTCTCTCTCTCTCTCATACACATACCTCCACGGAACAATGACAAAAGGTATCTTGTTGTCAACTTACCTGTAAGTTGCCTCAGTGTGTTGCGAGTGCGCGACCAAGCAGGCCATAAAGAAAACTACCAAAACGCCAGACAGCCATCTTCCAGTCAGTTCAACTTGCCTCTCGTACAGAGCCTCGTAAATACTGATAGCTAGGTAGCAAGCCACCACCATACTCAATATCACCACTTTGAACACCGATGTCAGGATCTGATATACCGCGCATGTTATCATCACCAGCATCACAAGCACCGGGAAAAGCTGCAAGTATCATTGTTCGAAAGGGAGAGTTAACTTCTCTTTAAGGTACTTGTTTCGAGATACTCGCGTTCAAAAATATTATTGAAAACTTTCGTAAAAGTATGAAAAAATGAAAAAAATCATTAAATTCTCGACTTGATCTACATATGTAGATTGCCAGGTGATTGTTTTCAATTTAAATGAAAATGCGGTTTAGGAACTCGTTGAAAAATTGATACGTTATAAAAATCGAAATAACAAACCATTTAAAGAAAAAATTATTGAGCACATCGTTACTGAGATATAATTGATTAAAATTTGAAACTGAACGTAGAGAAGCTGTGCGGTAATAGCGTAAATATACATATCGATTTAGTATGGAGGTGCGTGAGAGCAGAAAATACCTTCAGAAAAGTTTCCAATTACATTTTCGAACGCGACTATCCCGAAACAAGTAGATACCTTGATGGGAATCATCCTCAAGCTAATTCGGTTCAGAGCTACTCGATTCGGTTTAATGCCGTAGACCACCAAGATCCTGAATACTCTGCATGCTTGGCAGTAATGCGAATCGAATCGATTACATATATCTCGTGAAACTTACGTCAGCAAAGACGGTGTAGTAGCAAACATCGTCAGGCGTGTCGATGGTCTGGAACGTTATGCTGGAATTGTTGAGCCGTTCTGTGATGACTGTAGCGTTGCTGCAGACACGAACACCCTCCAGCGTGATCTACAATTAGCAGAAAAAGACAGACGAAGACTAATCACTTTGTTTTTTTCTCGCGTCAAGTCTGTGAGCCACAATAGACGAAGGATCATTGGGAGGATCGCTTCATCAATCCTGGAATGTCATCAAAATGCACGAAATTTATCGATCGGTGTCCAGACAATGGGGGTTTACCACCCATTGATTCTCCGCTCCTCTAGCAGTGATTAGAGGGATATATTTTCAACAAGTGTCGAGGCTTGATTTACTCGGTCAACATTCGGGTACCCTTAGTCATTTATTTCGCATAAGAACACATTAAGCGAATATTTTCCACGTCTTCTTCTACATTTTCGACGAATTTGTTTATACTTATTGTTAGTGGTACATATTAAATACGAAAAAGAAGATTTTCTAGAGTTGCTTGTATCGATTAATTTGAAAAATAACGTATACGAGAATGTCTACGTATAAAATATTTGGAGAAATAGAAAATTTACAAAAGTATAGTAAACTGATAAACAGTACGTACGTTTACGTTCTTTTGCACTTGACTTTGTACCTACCAGAGGGCTCAGTGCTGTGATGAAAGTCAAAAACACTACGCACGTGGCCAGTGCTTGCGCAACACCGCGATTTTCGAAAATGTGTACTGCGGTATCTCGAAGAAACTTTGGTACTTTCTGAAAAATATAATATTGTTTATCGTCAAGTATTTATCGGGCATTTTAAGGAGCGTTAGATTATTGTAACATTGACTGGAATTCAGCCACGAATTCAAGGTCAAGAACAAATGGCAAGGTTCCAAGCAGCATCGCGATCGATTCAGTTTCGCTGGAAATGGTTCAAAGTACGCAAACTTAATGTGCAGAAGTTGATCTGAATCAGCTTCGCTGTCTGCGAATCGAAAGGTAAATTAATCGACATACTCACCGGATTTTTTTCCGCCAACAAGATCCCGTTAATCAAGCCGATCAACAGCGTGCTCACTGCTATGCACGTATAGAAGTATATGCTCCTGAAAAATGATTTTAGGTGTGTAACGTAGCTTCAAGTATACTCTCGATGATTCTTATACTCGAGAATTATGGATCGGATAAAAAAAAGTGGGTAATGAAAGTTGTTCGTCTCGACATCATTGGGGACATTCAATTATACCAAACTCGATCCCGATCGCCACTCCGTTGGGGCTGGGAGAAGATAAACAAACGTTTGGAGAGAATTTTGTAGTTTCGACAGAGTAAATAGTGAAAATTGATTTAAAACATAGAGTTTATTTCGAGTGGTTCGTTTACCCGTACAGAGTGATTACTATAGCAATCACGACCACCATGTAGACGAAACCGGAACACACAAAGTATGCGGATAGCATTTTGTCCCTTTCGCGGGAATACTGCAACAAATCGTTAAAGTGGTCTCTTTTTTAACATGAAAAATTAGGTAAGCTCGAAGGAAAAGTATATGCGATCGATGTTTGTTTACAATTTGAAGGTGGTATTATAGGTATTGGTGAAACAACTGGTTCGTTGCTACGAAGATATACTTTCCTTCTTCTATAGAATACGTATATCTTGGTTAGTTGTTGTTTTACATAATGAAAAATCGGTATACCTTTTCCTCGACGTCGGAAATGCGAAATGTTAGGATAAAAGGCGTACAATATTCTGCCCTTAACCTATCTATGCTCCTGGCGTCTATAGCACGCATCAAGTATTCGTTCACTTCGTCTTCTGGATCCTTTTTGCTCTCGGTTGCTTCTCCGAAGCCAAGCCTGTCGTTAAATAGATAATGTGGTTCGAGATAGAGAAAGATAGAAAAATCTAAAGGTGATATTCGTCAAGATTTCAAGATCATTGCCGTTTTTCCAATGAGATGGGATATTTTCGTTATTTTTATTTTCCGTCACGCTTGGGGACTCGAGTTACAGTTTGCGTACTTCCCTTATCGGTCCCATCGCTACTGCGAGGAATCGATACGCATCGAAAAATGCCGTTCCCTTGACAAATTACACTTAATTGAGAGAAGCGTTGGCCTCGTTAACTTCGTTGTCTCGTTAGCTCGATCTCGCACGTAACCATCAAAAGGACAACAAAGTGGTCGCTTACTTGGTTTGTTTGCCGTGTTGCGATCCGTGTCCCATCATCCTCATCTCCTTGGACACGTTCCCGTTCGCTGGTAAACCCTTTCTCAGCCCCGACGAGGGTATACTGCCCTTAAACGCGTCCCCAGGGACGATCAGGTACGTTTTGATATTGTGCTCCTTGAGGTACGCGTTCCTTTCGCCTCCGTTTCCCTCCTCCACCTCGTAGTAACCGCCCAGGCAATCCAACGTCTCTTTCGTGATGTGAACTCGTCTGTGGGGGAGGAACAGTTCCGTGGTAAATGTCAAACGTAACTTTGAAATCGATTGGTCATCTAATTTTCGACCATAGACAACCTCCGGTCGGAAAGCTTCGCTCTCGAATCGTTCTATCGGGAATATTTATTCGATATTCGTTAAATCAATTTAAACAAAAATATATGTATATCAGCTTATAGGGAATAACGAGACGAAACTTTGTTTGTATTTAAAGTTTATTCGTAGGATGGTTAGTTTCGAAAATAAACAATGTGATATTTTGTTTAAATTCGATTGTTCGACCGTTGTTTTGTTTCTTCAAATAGTTGAGCTACGCGTTCTCTTAGCCTCTCAGCCCTCGGCTCGTAACATTGTTACATTTCATATTGTTGCCTCTAGGGAGGAACCTACTTTGCATACACTCTTTCCGGAGCTTTACTTCTGTTTCCCGTTTCGCTTCTCTGGGGAACAGCGTTTTGTTTGCTCTACATATTTCATCAGGCATCGCTAAAAATGCTCGATTCGAATAGGATAAAGACACTCACCCCGGTATTCCGCCGCTTTCCATGTGATTCGCCAGGGTAACATCGTTGCTCCAAACATCGAACTGCCATTTTCGGAGCCCGAGTACACCGCAGTGAACTCTGCCAGTGTGAATACCCACTCTCATGTTTACGTTCACTGCACCCACCTCTCGGTACAATCTGTAAAATACCATCTGCTATCGCGCGAGAGTAACTGTCGCGAATATGTTTTAATTTAATTATCTTAACAAGAAACGTTTGTTAAGATCGGTTATAGTGTTGTGCATTAAACTTTAGTTAAACTTTGGCGCAATTCTGTGAACGAATCAACAGAAAACATTCAACGAATGGATTTTCATATGCGGGAACACAACATTTTCAACTGTCTAAAAATAAAGATCGAACAACTAAAAAAATCATGATAAATTCAAGGACGATCAGGGAAGGATCACTTGTTACGGAAATCTGTTTCAACGATATACTCACGTGATAGCGCTGATCATATCCAAGCCCATTTCCACGCAGCAACGAGCGTGATCCGACCTGGCCTCCGGCAATCCAGAAACGCAATAGTAACAATCCCCCAGCAATTTGATTCGGAGACAATGGTGTTCAGCAGCCAGCGTATCGAACCTGCGAAAAAACGCCCGGACAAGTTTCTTCTTTTTATCCTTTTTTAACTTATGTAACACGTTACAGTCTAAAACATTTGATTACTCCTCTTGTTAAGAACAACATTCTACAGATACCCTTTCGTGAAACCCTTTTAAAATATCCAGGAATAGTACATGCTTCGAGTTGGATCCGTTACATAAGTATCCTTCGACGTGTTACGTGTTTAATCCTTACAAATTTTATATAACAGATATTTATTCAACGGCTGATCAAATTCAGAACGTTCACTGTTTCGATTACGGAGCTTGTGATGTAATCGATATATCTGTAACGAGTGTTGTGTGAATTTTACACAAAGGGTACATTCTAGCTGTCGTAACGACCGAAGAAAGTGTCGTTGGAGGTCGCGATCGAAAACACATCCGTGAATAATGTTTACGAGTACGGGTAAGCAATTTTATTAACGAAACGTTTTGAACGTACGATATTTCAACGATAAGAAAGAATGGAAAAAAAAACAACCAATAAAACAGAACAACAAATTAACAAAAGCTTTTTTGCAAAGGAAATAACGATTCCGAATCGTCCGAGTTACCCTCTGCTAGGGGGGGTCTTGCACTAATTCGGGTCCACCCTGTATACAACAATGAAGAATCAACAAAGCTAATGGCCACTAGAAAAAAGAAAAGTGATGAAATCGGAACTCAAGAAATGATAACGAATACGCATAATTTAAACGTTACGCATCGTGCCTTTTGTGGCTACGAGGGATTCACTTACCACGCAAACAACTTGTTCAGCAATCTGACGACCTCCTCGGCTGTACATTGATCCGAAAGCAACGTGAATCCGCAAATGTCCGCAAACAGGATGCTGAAAACAGTTTTGCTTTACATTCTTCGAGACTCGGTTGACCCGTAATTAAGTCACGATGTTAATTGGAATTCGTTAGCGCGCGTCGGGTGGCTTTTAACGAGCCACGAGTGGCAGCGCGCGTTACTGCAACGCGTGATAGACGTGTGTACGACCCTGATGCATAATTGAGATGAATATATGTATATCATCGTTCACTGAACAGGATACACAGTATCGTTCGTAATTATTCCGCAATGTTAATCTTATTGTCAGAGAAGACAGTTTAAATTTCTGAACCATTTTCTTTCGCAAATTCCGAATACACTGCGCATCGAAAGTGTACCAAAAGTGGACTTTTTCGAGGTTTCGGTATCTTGGGCCAAGGCTCGAGTCCATTTGCTAACCAGTCGTTTAATCGTTTGCGATATAGACTGATGTGGTAGCTCTTCATTTTATTCGTTCGATCAATTGATTACACAAACATTCGAAACTACTTCAACAATCGATGTTGTTCGTGTGTATCGAAATGTAAAAGCAGCGCAAATGATTTAAAGTAGCAGTTGTCTCGCGATGCGTGGTTACAAAGTCACGCGACAGATCCTTTGTTCCTTGATCAATTTGTGTTCAATTGCCTGGACAACTTTTTCAGGGAATGCTCACCTGACATTCTCGTGCCTTTGAATGCAAATTTTGTGAAACATGGTATCCTTTGGTTTTCCAGCGATCACGGCTTTCATCTCCATGGCTACGTGTCTCGGCAACACGCTCAATAGCAGCCGTTCCTGCAAACAAAAATCAACGAAAATTCACCGTTACACGTCAGTGGAGGAGACGCGAAACGCTTATGATGCCTATGGCATAACATATCTAATGGAAAATTCTTTACAAGATAAGTACCGGAAAAGTGCAAAAACACGGAGGCGAAAAGTAACGTCAAAGTTTGCACTATAAAAACACGAAACCAAATCAAACCAAGTCACGAGGATACTCTGTCATGTCCATTTTCAACAGAATACCCCTTTAACATGGTTGGTACCATTGTACTTTCTTGAGAAGGCATCAAAGTCCGATCCAACCGAGAAAATGTATCGTAGAAAGCGCAATGTACAACAATAACGACTTTCTCAAATATTGTTTAGCAATATTTGGTAAAAAAAAAAGAAAAAAAAAAGCAATATACAATGGTATCCTCGTTCGTTTTCAGTAGCAGTCGCGCTACAACCTGGACGGATCGCGTAATTTCGTTCTCGAGGAAGTCTGTGGACGAGCAAACGAAATTTAATTCCGTTAAGGAAACGGTAATTCTGTTTCGTCCGTGAAATTACAAGAGAGATTGATTTTCTAATTTATCAGTGATCGACCTCGATTGTCCTCGCTGTTTCGTTGTCTAGGGCCGCTTCGTTCGTTGCCACCGAATTCAAGAATTATGCGTCGCTATTTCCATGAATTTCACGTCGAGAAAATCAATCGCGCGATTCGACATGAACGCTAATGGACTGAACAGCGTTTCAATACGACTCGTGGGTTATCACCGAAAACTTATCAGTCGCAGAAGATGCAAATGCATTAGGCAACCTCATAACGGTTGGGGTACGGAATATTGATGTTTCGTGTCTTGTTGCGTGGTGCGACATCGATGCTACTGAAATGAAATATTAATCCACAGACATGCTCGCGTCTTACAGTGAATTTTTATCTCGTGTCTTGGGCGCGTGAACGTGCGCGGTTTTCGATTCCAGAGACGCTGTGATGCTCGCGACTCGCGATAAGGCATACATACGCTATCTATCAAACTATACGAACAGTTGGATTTTGGAGGTTTCGCGTAACGGCGACACCTTTGTTCACACGCATTTTCGGTATTGGCCGAGTCAGTCACAAAGCTACAAAGCTACCGCGTGACCAAGTAGTAACCATTGGCGCAACGTTAACGCCCAGACACCGGACGCTCGCACGAACGACGTGACGCGACGGACCCGGGTCACTATTAAGGCATCGGATTACGACAGTGACTGCTCGAAAAAAAGGGGACTCTGGGGAGATTTAGGCGAAGCGAGAGTAATCCTCTGGTCCCCTCAGTTCCGTCTAATTTCAGGGACCCTCGGCAATTTCTGAGCAAAGGTTAGTATACCTGCGTAGCTCCTAGCGTAAGCCCTTATCGAGTACCCGCTGTGCTGTGTATTCGATCGCTCCTGCAGTCACAGTTCGAGCGAAACCAGTTAGCATCCCCTTCTGCTCCACTCCCCAGTACCTAAGGTCGTTCGCAGTTTCGCAGCTTATTTGAGCTTATCTGAGCGTCGAGATACGCGCGCATCACTTGGCTCGTGTAAACGTATAAAGTTGCCGTTGGATCGCTCACAAATGTTGCTCGCGACTACGCAAACTCGTCACGGTCCTCGTTCGATGACGATGTTGAACAAACGTCATGACGTATTCGCGTTTTCACGCGGATAAGATAATTCGCAACGTGCCTCCGTCCCTTGCCCTCAATTCCTGCCAAGTTGGAGAAACTAATCCAAGGAACTTGTAACTCTGTGCAGTTTAACGTTAGAACAAGTGTCTGGACACTTTCTTAATAGAAATAAATTTTAATTTTTTTTTTTCCAAGATGTTTGTTAAAAACTACCCCAAACCTACTCAGACACTATGGTCTAAGCAATAAAGAGTCATTGATCTTTATTTGGGAGACGTCGGCGTCGTTTGAAACGCTGAGAATTTGTTTGTGTGGTTGGTTTCCGGGTTGATGTGCAAGCAAGCTTGGTCAGTGAGCGATCATTATCGCGGCAGGTCACGGTAAACCCGATTAAACCACACAATGGACCTGGTCACGGGTGAAACGTACGCTACAACTATAAGCAACGGCTGATAAGTCGCTATCTTTAATAGACTTCCGGTGGTTCCTAACAATTATTTTGCGTGGCTGGTGAAAATAAAGCGGCAGGTTAGCAACCTCGGAAATTGGATGTCTACCTAATATTTCCAGTCACGCGTGCTTCAATTTTTCTCGAATTAATTTCACACGATTACTAAATAAGGTAGAATAGACGGTACCGGACATCGTAATAAAAATATTCTTTTCCGTAACTCGGATGTTTCAATCGATTTTCTAATCGCGAGTATCGCGATGCCACAACTTTACTTACAAATACTGTGATTTCGAACCGAACCCCTTATTTTTATCCAAATAAAATATAGCCTATGTCACCGAAGGATAGCGTAGCTTTCTACTACCGAAAGAATTTTTAGTTTTTACTAGAACAAACTTTGCATTTCGAACGTAAAATGAAGGTTTTGTAAATGGTTATTTGCGGGAGTTTCAAGAGTACAACCTTAGGGATAAACGTGAACCTACGGTTTCGCTGACGAATGATAATTAAACGTTTCATGCTTTTAATTACACGGGAACGCACCGCAACGTCACCTGTAATACGACCAACATTTCAGTTTCGTATATACATGATTATGCCATAAATAATTATCGAACCCATTAATTAACCGGATGCTGAGTAAAGGGAAAGCCGCGCAAACTATAATAACGTCAATTTCGTTAGGTTGTTTCGTCGAGGTCGATCAAACTTTCAAGTTAAACGTGTTACGAACTGTATGAACGTCAGTTTCCCAATTTGGAAATTTTCATGCACGCTTATGAAACGATCGTCCTTCGGGTTCTGTAAAATTGCAATTATTCCTGCATTAAAATTACAGGAACAATTTTACAAAAGCTCGTATCACGTTTCTTCGTCGTTCTACTGTTACTTTTATATTTATATTCTTCTTTTTTTTTTGTAAATATTGCCTCGGGTACGAATAAATAAATTTTTAATCGGAACGCACGATCGATTCGTCTGTAAATAATTCCTCCGTTGGTTCAAGTCAACGCGACGTTTTGTAAACAATTTTTGTTGCGTGCATAACATCCTAGAAAAAGTGTTGAAATTCTCGTTAAATCGAGCGATAAACCTACACTCTCATATGAATAAAATCAATACTTCTTTATTGACTTGACCAATACGTATGAATTATTTGTAGTTTAAATATTCATCACTCGTGACTGCAGTTTGATTCGATAATTTAATAAATATTTATCGATACTAATCGATCGTATTAAGCATGTACTCTTTGCGCACCACAGCAAAAAATCATTCTAATAATACGCAAGTTTACGAAGAATAAACAAGATTATAATGATAGATTGTTAGACCGAGAAATGCCTTGACCCTCTAGGCTGAACATAAATTTTCAGCGTCGAATGTCATTTTATTTTTTCTTTTCACGTCATTCTACAAACTAATTCCAATTTCCTTGGGCGTTTTCTATTTTATCCCGACGTGGTTTGGCTCGTATTTACATTTTATGAGAATCTTCGCGTCGAGAGCATAACATTTCTCCGAGAATTTCCATATCAAAGTCTCGCATGGAAAATTGACCGAAATATTACTCGTAAAAAGAAAATCATCATTTCACGGATCGTTGTAAACGCATACCTGTTGTTGATTTTCCCGCTGCGTAGTCAGCCGCGCCTCGACGCATTGTCTGGTTTCAAGAAACGCTTGCCTTTGCGCCAGCTCACGGGGATGATGTGTTAGCACACCCGCCATATTTGTTCCACCTACCACAACGATGGAACTCAGCAACTAGAATGAAAAATCCACCGAGAGTCTTAAAGCCAATTGACAGTTTTATTTGAAGAAATTGAGGGCTGTTGACCGATAAGGAGGCTGCTCCATTTTTTCCAAAATTTCTTTTAAACTTTCACGTGTACACGTAGCAAAAAGAAAAAGCAATTTAGCCGGAGACGAGGTTGAAGAAGAAGAAGAAGGAGTATAAAGAAGGCACGATAGATTTAATATGAGGATTCACGAGCTGCGACCGTAGGGCGGCGAACAAAGCGTGAGCAGGGAAACTGAAACACTGGATTAACCAAGTGGTAGGAAAGGATCAGGGAACGCAATCTTCAACCGACAGATAGCTTCAGGAAACAGGGAGAAGGTACTCGTTGGACAACCAACGGGTTGTTAAGTCGAAGCTTTGTTGGTATGATCTTCATCGTCTAATCTTCACTGGAATCCTGTGTTGGTTATCCTGGGTTGCAGTGATTGAAACTTTGTTTCAAGAATTTTAATAAGATTAATTGTTCGGTGCTGCGCCAACAACGATACTCTTATTAAAATTACATCGATACACTAATTTATCGATTGGATTATGTGGACAATAAGTTTATAGGAAATGATAAGACGCAAGCTTGTTATATTTACGGTTTTAAGTTTGGATCAAGTTTACAGGATTCGATGATTTTTTACAAAATTTCTACTACCAAAGGAAATCGCGTTCAGCGAATACTGCTATCGGCTGTCCTGTTCTGATCAGATTGGAATTTCCTTGCCGAAAAGTAGCTGGATAGTCAAAGGACCAGGTTTATTGAGTTTACGAAGTTGGCAGAATGTCAACAGGCGAGTGTACTAATTGCAAAGCCAACTGTAATTAAACTGATGCCACCCTGAAACAGGAAACACTCTATAGACGTGTGATGTAGCTCTTTGATCTAGTCTTCAAGGTGGACCTAGCTAAAATCAATCCTCGCCACTCGCTGTTGTCGCGAGTTATCCTGGAATTTCCGTGAAAGCTTTCTCGGTTCTGCGAGAAAATGAATACAATTTTCCCGTAATTTCCTCAAGTTGTAAAAACATCGCTCGCGATCTTTCTCGCGTGCAATGGTAAAGTAATTGAAAAATTATTCATCTTCCGTGCCCGGTAGAAAATAATCCCTTTATCTCGAGTTATAATTTCCTGGGATTATAAAATTTGAGCAGAGAGGGTAATCCGGAAAAAAGACTCCCATATAAATGTTTCAAACTCGACGGAGGTGTTTGAGAATTATTCACAAATTCTAAAGAGATTATCTTTTTTATATTATGCACACGGATCCTTCTTCTTCTTCTTCTTTAGTGGCTCAAGTAGAATTTCACCTACCAGTTTTCATCGCGGACCAATTAATTATTTACAGGTCGCTTGAATCTCCCGCAATGTTCATTCGATGATTAATGTTGACTGTGCAAGATGTCCCAGAATTAGTGCAAGTTGAATTTTTAACGAATCCTATGATGAACGAAACTACGAAACTTTGTGTGTTTTCTTGTGCTTGGACAAATGATAAAGAAAACGATAAAAGGTAAACTCGCAGAATGTTATTGTAAAGACCTTTAAGAACGTACAAAAGTGTACGATTAATCGTTCGCAGCGAAACATTCATCTTCAAAGCATCAGTTCGGGATGTGCATCGTGGCTGCGGTTTAATCGTGAAAATACCTCCTTTTCCAGACAATTTAACGGTATGGAAACGCAAAAGGTAATTTCCAACAATTTGCGAAATTGCTCGATTAACGGTCATTTAGAGCACGCTTCTGATTCGAGAACTGAAACTCCAGAATCTTCGATCCGAAATCCCAACCGTGACGCGTTATCAATCATTCAAATCAGCCCTTTTTGCCAGGTTGCTGTTTTTTCGATCGTATGATCGATACGAAACCAGAGACAGGAAAAATTGTATTCCAATGATAAATGACGATTAAAACGAACACGCGGTGATTTATTCGTAACGTTTACTTGATTGAACTGTTCAATTTATATTCATCCGTTACATGTCTTTTCGAGGGTTTCACTACAAAGACGACCATTTATTTTGATGGTTCTTTACAGCATTCCAATATTGCTCGGTTGGAATATACAGTAAAGAAATGGTGCGTTGCGACGAATAGTATGTGTAGGTATATCGATTAACAGAATTATTTACCAAATCCACGTTTTACGTTTAAATGTAGTAAGTGTGACAGCTGAAAGATTCGTTTCTCGTTTTTCTTTCTATTAAAGGTTTCAATTCCATTTGAAGTTTCTCGCATCTGTTGTCAGTTAGCGATGAACAATCCGTTAATTCTTGCAAAAAGTTTCGTTGTCTGTTCCGAGCGTGTTGCGTAGTGGTACGTTTGTAAATACCGTTCGTTTTCTTGCGTTGTTTTCTCAACGATAGAATAACAATTTTCCTTCAGAGATCGTTTAAACTTCTAGGCTATGAGTATACTTACTCTAGCGTCGACGCGTTTCAAGTGCGCGATTCAACAAGTTTTTTTAAACAGTTGTTCGATGTCTGCCATTCCAAAGTATTTGCCTTCCTTCGCAGAGAGCCAGCAATTTCGCAAATTGTCGTGCTATTTCTTTGCTACGGTACGCATCAATGGGCGTTAGTCGCAGAAATAAATAAAAACCCTTTTTTTATTCTATTATTGTAGCCGTAGTTTTATGAAATGTTATAAAAGCTCGATTGCAGCCGAGTTTCCTCGTCGATGTAACAGGCTCTTTTATAATAACGACTCGTTAATTGTACGTTTCAGTTGAGCATTTAAAAGCTGTCACGAAACATCGCGATAAGCTGCTTCTAATTAGGAGATAGGCCCATCGACCCCTTTTTGCCAGAGTTCCCCTACACCTTAAATGGATAAAAAAAATCCGTAGGGCGTTAGTTAGCTAGTAATAAGTGCCCTGGCGCCGTTTAACAGAAACCAGTTTTGGTTACTTTATTCATCAAATCTCGGAATCGAAGCAAGAGACATCACGTCGGCGTCGGATCGACCGTTATCTCGATAGAGTGGTATCTCACGGTTTGGATAGCGCTGCTTTATAACGAATTCCTTTTGCACCGAGATTACCTCCATACTTCGCGATACCCCTAGCTCGTTAATATGCACAGTGTACCTGCGCTTTGACAGCCTCTATAAGCTCGTGGCAGCTGCCGGAATTGAACAGTCACGGTCAAAGGGTGCCGGACATAAGCCGGTAGACAGGACCAACAGAGAAGACGCTTCTGCCTCTAATAGAGCTTCTCGACGTCACGTTCCAACCGCGATGTGATTGCATCCCGTGTTTCGTCCTCAGAATCCGACGTGTTCAAGCTCCGCCCCCTGTACCGAGTAATTTGTCGTTTCATCAACACTTAGAAACGAGGATTTCTTCCGTCGTGTCTGGGAAACCTGATGTATAACGGAAAAACGTTTATTTTATCACTTGTCTCCAGTGTACAGTCGCGTCTCTTTTGTTTTGTGGAGAGGAACGTTGGTCACGCGCAAAGTGTGCTGTCTTCTGAGATTCTTGGAATTTTTATCGAGTACGTGACTCGCAAAGGAATATTATACATAACAACGTGGAAATTTACACATCAAAGTACTCGAAAATTTATCCAACGATCGGATGCTTTTCAATAGCAGGATAACGTAAAATTAAATAATAACAGTAACGATGCATCACCGAGTATCGCGTGTCTGGAATTTTTAATTGTAACAGGAATTATTCATCGGTATCCATTAACGTCCAACTTCCACAGGCTTGATTCCTAGGCTTTCAATAAAATGAAACTTAAATAAATCGCTGGGAAAAGAGCAAGCTCGGGTGGCTTGATGGATGAAGACACAAAGCTAGCAGGGCATCCAATAAGATCGAACTGTTTCCGCGAGATACAAAAGTCGACCGTGTTAGGTTTATGTTTCCGCGCCTTCGATCTGCTTTCTCATCTACATATTATCGACGAACGCATATGTCGTCTTGGATCGTACCTCCTCGTACCATACTTTCTTCAAGGAAAGCAATTTCATCTTTCGATTCGGCTGGATAGATCCGTGTTTAATCGAACGAAACGCGATCAACGTGCCCGTAGTTACGCAACACGCGCTAATTAGACGTCAAAATCGATATCCGACAATTTCATAGGGACAGCATGTTATGGGGAATTTGCATTTCAGCTGGATGAATTACGATAAATCTGACATTTCCGTTGATATTTGACGAGCGAAAAGCTTTGGACATAGCTAATCATTTACGCATTTCAATGTTTCCAACGTCCTGAAACAATAGCTGAAAAACTGGTATGAAATACATCAGTTTTCCTGCAATTTCATCTTTGATTGTTTTCCGATACAGTAACTGTTCCAGAGCGAGTGAGCCACGATACACGGCCGCGTTTGTCTTTATGCATACATAAGATGTGTGTATGTATACGAGTATACATTGCCGACCATAAATTTCAATACACCACCCCATCGGAAACTTTCCCAAAGAGATACAAACATAATTATTATTTCCGTACGTAAAGTTTGAACAATTATAATGTATATCCAGTGAAAATTCTATACGAAATGATTGCAGAATTGGAAAAATTACAATTAACCGAGTCGAATCACACAACGTATTCCTCGTTACCGTTCGAAATCCGTCACCTTTAATGTTTTCGTAAATTTTAAAGAGGTCAGAAAGATAAGTACTACCACAAACAGCGGATCACGGCATTTCTAATTCTACAGAAAAATATTGTAGCCTTGTAGGAATTCTCGCGAATATGTATTAGTCTGGTAGTTGCCACGTTAAGCACTGATCCATCGCTAAAAGTATCAGTGAAAAGTTTGGAGCTGTTTGTGGTCTACCTGAGGCCTATTATTAACACACGTCTTGCGTCATAATAACGCGTGAGGCACGTGTTCTCGATCCAATAGTGCCTTCGATCGCATCGTTTCAGTTAATAATCACGTCGTTACCGACGGCGCTACACGTTGCGCCGAGTCTCGTTCAGGCGTCATTGAAATTTCCGGCCGTAGGCAATAACCCAGCAGCCAGAACTCCGTTATTCAAATTTCCAGATGCAATTTGATATTCGCTACAATGTCCGAAATATTTGAACGTTGCACGCGACTTTCCGTAAAGATGCGAACACCACCAGGCCAAGAGGTGTGCACTGTAATTAACAAGCTTACGAGCTTGGAACGCAAAGCCTTCGAGAATCGTGGCCTGTTACGTGTTGGAATACTAATTTTGACTCGTTATTTTTCGGACAGCATGTAGCACGCAAATTTACCTTCTACCAGAGCAGATGTGAAAACATACACGAGCAAAATTCATACAGACAAAGAGCGTTGAATATCGAATATGAAATAAACAAGTTTTTTCATTTATAAAAAATAGTATTATGTTCCTAGCAATTTAACGGCAACGATGGATGCGATAGAGGATGTCGAATCGGCGACGATAAACAATAGGATTATTCGCACATTGTCGATCGTTCGTTTTGTTCGACACTAAATTCTCGATATTCCAACAGTCGAATACACCTGCAGCAACGGTCGAACGAGTGAGCTAACCAGGTACACAAAGTCCTGTCACTACCAGACGTAATGATCAGAGGAATTATTAACCAAAATCCCACGATCGATACGTATTATACGAATGACAGTCTAAACAGAAGATATCAAGCGTGTACCGCAGCTTTCAGAATTATACTGCTGAGCTACAGAGAATGCCTCTGAATGACATCTAAATCGAGTTATCGTATTTGTGAAAACGGTTTATACGCGTTCGATCAAAATTTCGTATTACGTATAATAAAACAGTCAATTGTAGCATCGACATTTTCAAGCTGTAATGTAATTTATATCGTAATCATTGATCAAGGATAGAGCTGGATACTATTTAGAAAAAAAAAGTATTCAAAATACTACTTTAGATAATAAGTGCTATATGGAAGAAATATAAATCACGAGAATACAATTGAGAAGAATATCATTCAAGAAAATATAATCCGAGTGTTTCACGATGGACTGTACACCGAGTCCTTAAAAAAAGTTCCTAACGTTGCCAGCCAGAAGTGAAAGTTTGTCCCTAGTCGCTAGATTAGAGAATATGATAAAAATATGATAAAACGTGGATCGAATGTGAAAAAAAAAAACACCCAAGTTAATTTTAAACACTGAAGCATTGTTTCAAAGTTTCAAAGAAAAAATATGAGCGGTGCTACATTTATATTCCGCAGTGTGGATGTACTATATATATCGCCGAGAAAAATTCCCGAGTATTAGCTTTTTTCCGTTTTGAAAGTGGAATTTTTCCATAATTCACTGGAACACGCGAAAGAGTAGTTTATGAGCGTCGGTAATCATACTCACGTGTTCCATCATGGCCGGGTAATGCGATGGGTAGAGGGTGTACGCGCCGATAAGATGTGCCAGTGAAAAAACAACGCCGGCTATGCAGGCGTGACGCAGTCGGATTGGTAGTAGAGCGTAGGCCATGTAAATGAAGAAGCAAACGGCCCAAGCAGCAGCGAGAGGACCACCGCTTCTATGCTCCTTTGAACCCAGAGCTAGATGAACGTTGAGCGCTACTTGAAGCGCCAGTAACGTCACCAGAACGATCCCGCTGACACCGGCCAGCCAAATTTCGTTCATGCCTGGTCTAGATATCGCCACCACCAAAACTGAAATTAGAACAAATACGAATAATGAAATATTCATTAGCACAAGAGTTAGTATTAGGTTGTTCCAAAAGTTTCCTTCGTTTTATTAGTTAGTGATACAGGATGGAGTGGAATTCGTATTACACCCGGCCAAGCTGTGAATATCTGTCTATGTGAAAAAATAAGACAAAAATTTACTGTAACATTTTTTTTACCCATGGCTTCGTTTCCGAGAAAATCTGTGTATTTGATATTTATTTGGCAAAGTGGAAGTCGAACATGATGTACTTGGAAATGTTTTCGAGTACTCGGTATTTTATCTTATACATACACTCTTGGCGTTTCACAGAAAGTTACGTAATTTCGTGTGTGAAAGAAAGCGGCGGTTTCGAGTAAAAGTAAGGGTTAATGCTTTTCTCGATTTGTTCGGCAGGTCGAAAGTGTGAATTCGCCAGGTGGTATCGTAACGATCGAAACAGATGAAAATCCAAAGGGGCAAAGTCCGAGGAGTAAGCCAGCCGCACGATGGAGAATTTCCTAACCCAACGTGCAGATAGCATCCCGTGTCGTTTTTGCTTTGCGAGACTGAGCGTGATCGTATATCACTATGACCTGGCGTTCCATTCTGAGTAAACGATTTTTTGTTTTTCTTCAAAAGCATAGCTTACAAGGAATATCAGCCAAATGTTACACGTCGATGTTGACGAAACTTGATTACTTGATACACAGTTAGAGCAATGAAAAGTATTAGACACGCATTACTTTTTACACAGTTATCCGTAGCATAACTATAGCACCACGTTGGACTGATTAAAATTCCTATGTGACAAATAGTAAGCATAATCCATCGGTTGATCCGCGTATAATAATATTACAAAGGATCGAATATTACTATTCTCGGATAATTCTGAAAATATCGAAATTTTGATTTCCACTTACCAGCATAAACCGCTATGGAGATAACTATCGTGACAGCCAGGAACAGATTCTCAGGTCTTTCGAGCATGACTAGAAACTGCTCATTGTTCTCCAGAATCAGTCTCGAAATTAACAGCAGGCACAAAGCTAGCGCCAGACCAGCTAGTAGGCCGAGTACGTGTATCGTGTTGCTCTGATTCATTCGTAGGAAGTAACGTTGGTATAGCATCTCCACCTGAAATGGAATCATAGGATAGATTGTTATTTTCTACATTTCTTCAATATTCGAGAAACTGCCTATACAGAGGCAGAGTCTACCTGTCGAGTCATGCCACCGTTTTCGAAAAATCAAATTTCATTGCACAGGAAAGCATTCCTAACCGCGCGCACTTCCGTGGTAAATGAAATTTTTATCGAACCGTTAACTGCGTACACAGCGGAGGTGTTATTTAATTCACGCTGCATATTACGTTAAACGTTGCTAGAGACTTGGTCGGAATCTAGAGCCGACAGATTGCAATTCACGCAGACTAGATGCGTTGATGATTAAAAAATGGAACGAGATCGTCGAGCAGGATCGTTCCATGCTCGACCGAATAAATTAATTAAAATTAATTAGATATCGCTTGCGTTCGCTGCTGCTCGGCGCGGCGCCGGTATGCTTGTACCTCGTCAATTTGTTTACGATTGCAGCTAGTCGAGATACCCTCCAAACGATCGAAAATAGATCATCAAAATTAAATCAGTCGCGCTTCGTTCTTGAAGGAGCTTCGAGCGGATCTGATTTAATTACTCTTGATTATTCGAAATACACCAAGTACTTACTTTATTACTTTAGATAATCCCAGTTCAATTTAGATCGCGTATCATAAGCTTGGTCTAAGCAAACTCGTCATGTTGCTGACAGCACGATAAAATTGCTCGAAAGTCCCAAAACATCCACGCTCAAGTTTAGACAGGTGACGTGATTAATGAAACGTGTAATGCAACGCTTGTCGCTTAGTCTATACCTATAGCTAGGTATACACTGAAAGCGGAGTTTAAACAAACTATCGATGTATCCTTTCCGCCACAGTGTAAACTAGGCTTTGTGTCTCGAATTGCACGTTGTATTACACTTTGTAGCGAACAAAATACTCGGAACTTGTATCGGTGTTGCTGCTAGATATTTATATCCTTATTTATTCTTATATTACGGAAAGTGTAAAGGCAACATTAATTGTAAGTCTGTGTAGATTTCTGTTAATCTAACACAAAATTTTCTACAGTGTTGTTTGTTCTTGTCATCGTTATTATTATGTTAGGTTTATATATTATTATTATTATTATTATTATTACTACTGTGAGATGCATATTAGTGAAATTCGCTGTATTAGACAAAAGGAGAGGGACCAAGAGGAAGAAATAGACAGAGTAGGGATTCAGTTTCCGTGCTGCAGAACTTGTCGGAATGAAATTCACTGTAGAAATGCTTTATACTCGTGAATACGAGAGTACGTCGAATGAGAGAACTTTATACTTCATGTAACTAAGGAATAGAGGTGTAAGATCCATCTTTGTGTTATGTTGAGCCACCCAGAGATTCATACAGCAACGGAATGACGTGATCACATTTACAAGTGGAGAAGTAGTTACGAGTATAAGAATTCGAATAGATTGAACGTGATACGAAATAATTTAGGTTACATAGGCGCAATGTTAATTGAAAAAACAACGTTGGGCGATAAATGTGAATATTCCTGTATGACTGAGTAAAAACTTAAAATTGAAGAATCATTTGTATCGTAAATAAATTACGCTGAATCTTTAGGCAATATTAGAAGGAATTCGTTACAGCTATCGACCATAACTTTGTTGATCTTAAAATGTCGTGGAGATACCGATTTAGAAGGCAATTTCCGGTGACTAAATTTAAAATTTCCAACACCGCAAGCAGCCCAGACTCGAGCTGTCGATAGTCGATTAATTAGCAAGACATTTTCCTCGTTTAACGAGCATCTAAACAAAATCTACATAAATATGTAGTTTGACGATGAAGATCAGCAATTAATCCTGGAAATTCTATGTTTTATTATATTTAGTTAAGCAATTTAAGTTATCGTGTTACAGTGGCATGGCTCGTAACTTTCAGTTACTTACAGTCTAGTATTTGTTGTTCAGTGTAAACAAGTAACTACTTAAACATTTGAAAGTAATTCCAACCATCGAGCTCAAAGTAAATTGAACGCTATGTAGTAGTTTGAAAACGCGCGAGAGTGTCTTCGACAAATTCAGAGACAAACTTTTTCAACCTAGGAGATGGAGAACGCAATACAAGATTCAGGGTAAATAGTCCACGGTGAAAGGACTTTTTCGACCAAGTTACCTGCAAGTTTTTGAAGCGGTGCGAAGCGCAGAGCGAGTTCAAAAACCGGCACAGAGCACATTTCCTCGGTCGTTGCGTTATCGACGTGTTCACGGTGGCTTCTTGCGTCGTTTCCCTTCCTGTTGCGAGACCAACCCCAACTTCCGAGCCTCTGTTCATCTGTGGGTAAATCAAAGTACGTGGATTAAAGCAATATTTTCCTTTTCGATGGGCTCTTGATTTGTTGAAGGAAACTTGTATGCAAACATTTCAGCTTTCTAGTTTCAAGGGTTTAGCCTGGACTGTTCAAGTACTGGGTATTTTAGCCCAGTTAACAAACGCATTAAGACTGTCTTTGTTCTCTAACTCCGCTCAACTATTTGATTAATTCGTCATTCGATTACCCTAGCTCTGACACAACTGTTACCAATAAATATAACCGAATAAAGTCCTCGACACGCCCCAAGTATAACATAATCAAAACCGTTCACAGCGTGACCATTAGTCCCGGAACTTTGGGAACGATTAATCATATCACGGTGACCGGTCAGCGCATCGGGAACATTCCAAGAAAACAGTTTACCCCGAGCACATTTATCCAGGGGTGAATGCATCAGTGCACACCCCTCCAACTAAAGTACACTCTCTCGGCGCGGAAGGGCAAAGCCAACAGAATAAAGTGGTTCCATCCCCATTATTGTCCTGTTCGCTTTCGGTCTGAATTTCGTCGTAGCCGTGACTCACCGTGATAATGGAGGGACGCGGTGCACCGGTGAAGTGCTCGATCACCTCCCAATTGGACTTCCTCAGCGGGGTATGAGGGGTACGTGGCGTATTCGGTGTATGAGGTTGAGAGGAAGGAGCCGAGGACTCTGGAGGATCCAGGAGCAACTCGACTCTGGCTTTGCCGCGATCGTTGTTGCTCACGTGTTGTCTTAAGCTGGCCCATCTTCTGGTACTTTTCACGGATCCGGTTACCGACCTGCCAGCTACCTCGCCCTGTCGATCAAACATCGAACACGATTAATAAAGGCTACGAGAAAGCATTCGTACAGTAATTCATTCAACTTGTCGAAATATCGTAAACTTGTTCTTTCGTTCGTTTCTTATCGATTGGTTTATTCGTTCAGACAACACTCTTATGGAGACACTTCAGGGGTAACGGGTTGGATCGTCGAGACATCTCCATCGAAACGATCTCGCTAAAAGAAAGTAGGCGTCATTTCTCGCGAACCATTAGTAAGATAAGATTAATGAAACGTCCTTGAACGATGCAACGATGCGCCCAGAGTAAGACATATTGAAAGGAACAGGACTGAAAGGACACGAGGCGAGCTTTCTCCGACTGATTAGGAAACAGAAATTTAATACGACTCGGGCGTCCTTCGCTCTTCTTTCACTGTAGCAACGAGCTGCCCTCTTAAAGAGCTTCCTTGAAAACCTTTTGTAATGTGTACAGGATCCTAAACACCGCTTACAATTAGTAGAAAGTATATTTCTTGATATTTGAAAAGTTCAGAGGAGAAATAATCTTATCGTAACATAATCTTTTCCAGTGAAAATTACCAAAATCTAATTACATAAGTTGATTTTTTTTCTCAATTGAATTCTTTTTTTCAAATTTTCAATTAGATTTTTACGCTTTCACAATCGATCGGTTCGGATAAACTATTTTCTATAATTGTCCATTGTCTTTAAATATTTTCTAAAGATCCTTGCAATATCACACCGAGTTCTTTACTATGGGAAACCAAGCTACAACAACCCCTAGCCCTGTACTCCATTTTTCTTTCTGCCGCGAGTTGGCAGACTCTCCCAGCGATTGTAAAGGATTTGAGAATTCTATTATCCGTCGCTTTCTTCTCGCTTGAACAACTGAATAACGTCCCGTATCATGCAAGATGTACTTTGTTTGCTTCATATCCCTGTATTTTCATTCGCCTTCAAAAGATGAGATCCTTAATCTTACTTTATAAATCTGTCCTTACTGCGTCGAATGGAAAGGAGGGTGGGATATGTAATACTTTGAACCGTCGTATACGCTTTTTGATATTAAAGCCCTAATATCTTCTTCGCTGAATTATTTAAATTGCGATTCCTGCAACGTCACGCTCTTCACACTTGCGAAATTTGTTGTCAATGCACTTTTGAAATAAAAAATGAATACGTTGAAATAGTTACTTGGCCAATGTGAACACTAAAATTTCCAAGCTAGTTGATTTGATCCGTGTATTTTAAATTTAAAACAAAAATTATTCAATCAATAAGCGTAAAGTTCTGTCGTCAGTTTTGACGATTATTATTGAAATGTGAAAGTGATCATATAAATATCAACGAATTGATTTGCTTTTTCGTCATCTAATTTAAAAGATATCATAAACTTTGTAATATGAATCGAACAAAGTTTTTAATTTTTGTTTTTGAAATTAAACGTCCTATGAATAAGATGTAAATATAAAAAAGTTTCGTCTTATCATTCCCCATGAGCTGATATTTGTTTTAAATTCACATCTCTATGCCTCTTAGAATTTCAAGCAAAAATTGTCCCGTAGTGAAAGGATTAACGAGCACGCTGTTCCCCGATGGCATCGATAGTTTAAATATGGAAACGATAGCTTCCATTGGCTAAAATAAGAAAAGCATCTGCTTCACGTTTGAATTATCCTCGCGATAAAATTGCGGTTCCTTTAAAGTGGAATGAAGAAACGGTCCTGTGTGCTCGATCACGTTTTTTCTTCTTGCCACCGGTGGTTACTGATGAAACGCAAATATCCGGTCGGTTTTCCATTTGCTCGCGATTGGGAACGATCATGGAAAACACACCCGAGTTTCTTCGCGGATGAGAAGTAATTACGTCGGAGTAGAACGGGAGGACCTCATTAATCCTGCTCCACTGATCAATAAAGTTTTATAAAGCGCGTTATTTCCGTTCCTCTGGACGAATTATGCTGCCTCCCCAACCGCTATTGTACACCCGAACAATTGTTCTAGCGAAATTTGCTAATCCGGTCGATGTCTGCACTGGAAACGAACCGTTTTTGTTCTCCGGATACGCGTTCGACGCTTTTATTACCAGGTTGTCTTCCATCGTAGCCTGTTTCGCTCTTTCCAAATGGGTATTCGCCCGTTAGACTAGTTTCGTTAGTTCCAAATAGAACGACAGACTGGAAACTCTGTTATTTTATCGTTCAATTTCTTCTGTGCTAGAAAATTACTGTTTGTATTAGAACGAGAAGATCAATTAAGAAACAATGCCTAACGGAGTGCCTCTTGATGGATTGTTGCGAAATAATGCTTAAATTCTTGAATCGTGTTTCTCATATTCAAATTGTCAGAGTAACTATAGGTGGCCAAGAACCTCAGTTTGTGATTTATAGTTTGTATATATACTTGATGCATTAGGTCTGTGTTTTATATTTACGCTTTAAATTCATATTTTATATTTATACAGATTCGCTCTTCCCATTGAAAGCCTGCGTCCCCACCATTCATGTTACTTCATGTTGACAGAGGGACAGTTGCGGATGTCGGCGCAGAGAAGCGTACGTTAGGGCACGAGCACGCGACGATGAGTTCAATCACGTTGTTCCGTTCCTCTCGCGGCGGCAACTTGACGTACAGGATTATTTTGTAGGGTGACGGAAAAATGGATCGTGTTAATAAATGTTACACTCATTCCACACTAATAGCGGACTGTATCGTATTTAATCAGAGAAATAGAATTCCTAATTTTGGAATAGGTCTGTACAATAAGAATCTAAAGTGAAAACAACGAGAAATACGTTCTCTCGCTCTTCATCCAGTGAACCACCAACATGTTTCTACGTTTTCAAATACATAAAATAAAACAAAAAAAAAAAATCATGTCGAATTGAGTAACCTCTTCCTTTACGGAGTCGATTAAAAAGGTTTGTCATTCACAAACTGTGAGTTACATCGTATTGTCCGTAAGCCGGTCCAGTGTGCTCGCGGTAGAGACTTATTGATAGGTCGCGTAATAGAAACGCGGGGTTATCGCCGTAATGTTTCGAATGCTTTGCGGATAACCACCGAAAGATACACAGTAGTTTTGTTGGTCCAGAAATCTGTATTCCGGTCGACTTGAGCCTTCCAAGTTCCAGCCAAGTTGTTTACTCGTGGAGTTAGTATCGGCTTCTATAGCACTTGGGCCCTGTCGAGTTCAAGGGTCACGAATATAACGCAAACTACTAACGAGTTAACCAAAACTTTCGGTGCGTGTATATTCTGCAAAGTTGGAGCACAGTGGCAGGGATGTTTGAGGAATTTCGTGAGCTATCATTGACGAGGGATCGGGTTCGTTGGTAGCGCTTCTAACTAATTAAGGTCTGACAAGTTAAAGAATCGAATCAAGAACCCATCTGCCAGCTGCTCCGTTGAAACGAATTCTAACAAGTTTGGTGTTTTGGTTCGCAGATTATTCTTCTTAAACATTTCTTGGGTAAGGTTATTATCGATACAAATTTATTTCAATCTGAAAATATCATAATACGATTGTTTATTTTTATATTATTACATACTGTATGTATTTTGCAATTTTCTATAAACGCATAAAAATCCGCGGACCAATTATAAGATACAAATAGCACTTGGATTTGCTACATTAGTTTCCATTCCATCTGTTGGCCAGCAAAATTTAAAGCATCAACTTAAACACCAACCCAAATGTTTATATGCAATTAAATAGCGGCAACAGTTTGGACCTCGAGCTGTTCAAAATTTAATTAGACTTAATTCAAATGAATCTGACTGCCATTTCCCAACCATTCTTCAATTAAATACTACGACAGATGCGGTTGAATTAATTTGATCGAGCTTTGGTATTTGATTTAATTATCGCGATCCAGTCTTTCGTTGTACGCGCACGGTCGAAACGATTTACGCACAGGGGAGATAACAAGACCCGCCGATAATTTTGTAGCCCGATATGTGTCGCTAAGTACCGCGAACGCGTTAATCACCGACAACCATCGAACGTGCTCCATTAATTATCACTGGTTGCGACGCCGCGACCTCGTGCTGCGATTCACGGCTTCTGCGAGACGAGACGAGACGAGACGAGACGAGAAGCGAATGGAAAATCAGTTGTCGGGAGAGCGGACGATGCTCCAAGTAACAACGAGGCTCGATGCAAATGTTGCACGCTACGAGGAATAAAAGAGCGGTTAGGTTGCTCGACGACGTAGAAAAATGAGAAACACTCGCCCAGGGACCTCGTTATCTTGGAACAAAGAGGGTTTCACGGGGAATTCGTGTCGTTTATGATCGAACCGTTTGGGGCAAACTATTCCCCTACATCGCGTAAAATTTCATGTCCACGGTAATTGAGTGTGTTACACTCCGACGATACGTAATTTTCTTTTATTCCGATTTCGTTGGTAACGACGTGTTTGAAATTTATAAAAGCATTCCAAAGTCTTTCTAATCGAACGCAAACTTAGCCTTTCACAATTTTATACATTGTGTACTTTTGTAATGGTGAATCCGTCATTTTGCATTTTGCAATTGTAATATCAGTCGGTGAATGTGAAACAGCCGAGGAAAGTGAAAAACAATTCCAACTTTCTGCTTTATGACAGAGTTAACGCGAATTCGAATAGGTAGCATGTATTCGAAAATTCATGGCAGGTGATACGTTATCAAGTTTTCACGCGGATCGAGTACAATGTGCATGCATAGACAAAGAAATCATTCGACACGCGACAGTTTGGAACTCTCTCGACTCCAGCTAGCCCCGTCGACAAACGATAACAGTTATTCTATGATTTCACGCTACGATACAAAGGTCTCTAGAAAAATGTTGTACAGGGTGAAGCATTTCAAACAGGTCATCTGTTTAAAATCCGCTTACTTTAAGCGATAGAAGAAAAATTGTCCAACAGGAGTTGTTTGATTTCGAATGGCACGTAACGTGGTGACAATTCCTTTCTTTATCGGTGTAATAGAATATAAATTGTTTCGAGGCACTCGTACGGCAACTATTCAAAATGATGACCTTGAATTTTACAGATAATAAAGACCAACAAAATAAAACAAAATTTTCAACTGTGAACACGAAATGAAATTTATAAATTATTTTGGCAATCCTTGGTATTAAAGCCTACAAATAATTTCCGAATCACCGAATTCCGTTTAATTAGAAAACTGATTCGATAATCAATAATAATAATTAATAGCACGGATTTTGAAGCTCCGTCGGATTTTATAATTAATCGCGTAACAGTTACAGGTCAAATGTTCTCTGGTATAATTCTCACTAAAACTTGTCAATGTAGAATTCCCCATTTAACTATTTCAATTATAATACGCTATTAGATAGCGGTTTTACCCGGTAACAAATTTCGTTGATTTCGAACGCTTCTGACGTTTTACCCGCTGCGTGGGTGGAATTATGGAAATTCTGAGACTCGTTCAAAATTTACCAAGTGTGAGACGGTTGCTTTGAAACGCGAAATGTGAAACGCGAAACGTTTGAACATTTAGCATCCGCCGCCCAGCACGACGGGTACTTACCAAATCGACGAGCCAAAATTTCCATAGCGATTTGTTTTTCATACACTGTTTGCTTAATATCGTCTAATAATTCAGCACGATGATATAGAAATTAAATAATCGTACTCTTCTCAAAGAATGCGTATTGTTTATTTGACAGTACGAAAGTAGATGACTAAATTAACACAGGAATTTGCCATTTGAATTTCGATATTCTGATGTCAGATTCGTAATCAGCGATCGGAAAAATGATGACGTACCAATTTTTATATTTATCTGTTAGCTCCTATTTTTGACCAGGTTTTCGCGATTTCAGACCCTGCGGTGGTCGTCTAGCGTTAAATTTAACTCGGCAGGCAGCAATAATTGCTCGTCGAAAAAGAGAATAGTGGAAACTCGGTAGTACGAGCCGTCCTCTTTCGCGGCAGGGTGGTTGAAAATGTCGCGCGGTGGGAATTTACTTTAAATATTGGGCGCTCCGCTTCACATGTACTTTCCGCGAGAATGGAAGCAGATGGAACCACTCGGAACCTTTGTGTTTGTTGCTCGATCGTCGAAACGATTAATTAATCGTTTTCCGCATCAACAGTTACGTTCGACGTTCTCTGCCGATTCGAACCTTTCCTCGGAACGCAAACTACAAAGGATTGTTTTCAATGAAATGATATAAAGCAGAATTGAACGAGAACCGTTAGACAGAAGAGATTTTGCACGTGCCGATGTGTTTTTTTTGTGAAGCAAGCGAGGTTTTCACCTGTGACGGATTAAGAAAGTTATGGCAATCGGTTATATTAGGTGGTCCGAAAAGTTTCTTTCGCGATTTACACTCGCCTGCTTTGGCTGGGAGTATTTACATAAATCTCATTGTTTTAGAAATCAAAAGTTATCCTTTTCAATCTGTTGAGAATGAGCACTACATGCTTGTATTTGTAACGGTGTAAATATTTGCGTCCGTTGGTCCAGTCCCCTCCCTGGTAAAGGTCAGTATTACCTGAGGAGGACAGCAGTTTATAAGACCAGAAAACTAAATAAAGATAAAGATAAAGATAATTTAAATTAATTTAAGATATTTGTATCTGTTATTCGAAATAAATGTATTTCGACTCGATAAAAGTTCGTGTAACCATCAAACAAATTGATTCAGGAAAAATCAAACATGGTTCAGCGAGATTCAAGGGAAGGCCTGTCGACAGGAAAATCACTTTGACATGGGTTCCCCTTTATTGTTACGTATCGGATAACAAGCTTGCAGATTCGTTGGCTAAAGCTGCTATTCTGTCAACATTTCATTCAAATTGTGTACTTTTCATCAACTTCATAAGATAGATCAAACAAAGATCCATAAACGCATCAGAGGATGGGTGGTAGAATCGAGGCATGCATATAAATTCTATATTGTAGGAGTCTAAATGCAAAATAAGGCACAGAGCTTCGAAACCACGATCCACAGTCGACCGCTTTACCTACGCGACCAATCTCGTACCCTACGTTTCGTCTTCTTGTTTGACTCCTTATTCTTGGGTATAGGAGCGCGATATTACAATACACTGCCCAAACTTGTATAGAAGCTTGACAAATTCATGGTTTCATAATAGAGACCTAACAAGGTAATTCAAAGTTTGGACTAACCCAGACCAAATCTGGTCATTACGATCTAACTCAGTATTTTGCTCAACCTTTTTAATCTAAACGTCTACTTTGTCACGTATTTTTCTTAATTCGACCCCTTTAATTTCGAAAAGCTTCAAATTCCATAACAAGTCTCAAAATAATATATAACTTTGGGTCTGGGTAGGAAATTGTAAGATTCCGTAGAAATGCCATCGTCATTTAATATTACATCGCGATATGCGAATACTTTGTTCCACCACATTAGCTGGCATTGACGCTCAATTTGCAGATTTCGTTCGTTTGTAGTTTCATGGACGATCGTATTCGCTTCGATAGAAAAGAATCGGTCCTCCAATGGCGTTACATTCGTCTGTTTACGATGCAGAATGTCGTATCGAGGAACGCGATCGTTTCGCGCAGTGAGAAGCGCCCGGCTTAATCGGCTTCGAAACACGCGTGTTTGATTAATTAATTCGTTGCGAAGCTCCCCCTATATGTTCATGTTTACACGGCGTCCGAGGGATTCGATTTTAATTTCGTCTAACGGGATTATCGCTTCTTTTCCGCCCTGTAATTCGTAGAAGCGATGTAATAACGCATGACAGTGCATTTCGCAGCGAAGAATGAGCTTTTGAATAATGGATGTCGCTACGCGCGCTTCGTACTTTTAAATAACAGGTCGATGGGAAACAAAATACCGTGCGACGCGCTTGCCGAAGGTTCCAATAACGTTGATTGTTTATTGTGAAAAATCGATCTTTGGAATACCCTTTCGCCGAAACAATAATTTCCTGCGTCGAGTAACCTCCTCCCTTACGTTTAATTTTCATTAGTTTTTCCTAGAAAATGTCGGATAGTCTTTCGGATTATAACGCTCTTAAAGAAAAACTCGTGAGAAAATGTTTAATTACCTGATGGCTCCTTCGACTGGCACGAAGACTGAGTCTGTGGCTCCATTCGTGCTTCGGGAATTCCACGCCGTATTTCTCCATGTTGGTATGGTACGTCCCTCTTTCTCGCGCTGGTTTAGAGCCCTTCTGGGCAACGAAACACCGTGGTCCGCTACTTCATGCTCCCCCTGCCAAGCAGAAAAATATTTTCAGTCTTGCCACCCTCGCGACATTGCACTCACGTTCCATTCTTCGGGGTCGGAACAATTGTTTCTTTCTCATACTCTCTGTTTCTCCAGAGAAAACTACGTTTTCGTCACGGAACACCACGGAGAAAATTATGCTCGTTTTTATTCGAGACGGGATTAGCTTTTCGGTTTTTTTTTTTTTTTTTTTTTTTTTTTTTAATTTGTCTCAGGTCGCTGATAAATTGAACAAAAATTAGCACAAATTAATGAAAATGTTTTAAACGACAGTTTAAAACAACAGTTCTTGATAAGCTACATGTTCGAATATTTTTCAATCTGACAAAATGCTTTGTACGTAAAAATGTAAATATCACCTTGACTTTTTTAAATGACGCCGTTTATGTTTTGGACATCATGAAGTCGTTTTGAAATTAATTTTATCATTGGATAAAATGTTTACATTAAAATCCTCATGAATAGCAGGTATTCAGCTATTCTATTTAGCTCTTGTATTTTAATATATAATGTATTCCGTACAGACGAGGTATTGTTCTAGAAAACGAAGACAATATTTTCAGTAAATAAATCCAATGATTTTCATTGAATAGCAATTTTATGAACGACGGCACCGTAGACGGAATCACGTGAAAATAGCACGATGCATTCGAGGATGAAAAAGCAAATCGATACCATCATTTGTAAGGAATTATGTAAAATGAGGGGAGAGTGGAACGTAATTGGGCCTCAAAGTCTGTCGATTGGACCAATTAGTGGCAGTAAAGCAACGAAAGTAACAATAACGATTCACGCAAACCCTCCGCTGAACCCTCTAGCCGTTTATCAGTGTCAGACACAAAAGGGGAATCAAACGTACTACGTAACTATCGAAATTCTGCAAGAATTTTCCACGCAGTCGTCTGTCACAATCGCTACACTGTATTTACAATTATACTTTTTATTATATTCTCTCATTGTTATTGTCCATATGCTATGAAAGTATCGTACGTTCACATATATCGATACAAACTGTTTCATATTTCATTTTGAGCTTTATTTCAGTTATCTAAATCCCGGATATATAGGAACAGAGGATAAAAACAAAATTGATAGCGTGAAAAACGCTTGACGAAAGTGAAACTAGAGTCTGAGCGCTGGAATGTAGGGTCGTCGTCTGTGGAGATCGATTTAAGGCCAGCGACGCGTATCAATTTTTAACGTGACTCCGTTTCCTCCAACTCTATTTGCGAACGTTTCTGTCGTGGACTTTAATCGATTTCTGAAGCAACGAATCGAATTAAAAACCAGAAAATGAACACTAGTCGCTGGGAGAATTCGCTTACCGTTCCGTCGCGATAAAAAAAAAACTGATAAAAGTTACTTGAATTGACCCACTTTCAACATTTTTTATATCGTAATATTCGTAGGAAGCTAATGGAAAAAGTTTCTACTCGTTTTCATTTTGTGTTTAAGGAACAATGGGTACGGTATAGTAGAAGAAATTTTGTTCATAAGTACGTATCAGTCGGTTAGAATAAAGACACCGGTTACTTATTTGATATTTCATATTTAGATAAACGTACCTGTATGTTCATTTATTTATTAATCTCTTCGGGGATCATTTTTTGTGCTAGTAGCAAATTTTTATTGTTTTTATTATCGACAGTAATTATGATTATAAGGGCGTGAAGAGGTTAAGTATTATTATTATATCATTAAGAAATATATCACATAATTTATACATACAAATATCTATTTCTAACAGATTACTACTCGTTTTCACAATCGTGAATTCATGTCTTATGAGTAAGCATCCCCGTAACTAAGAAATATTTGAAATCGTCTAGTACATATAAACGCTATAAACAAGTTTCAGTGTCAACGAGGTACAATTTCCTTATGGTCTCGCTGACGCCAATCAGTTGCTAACCAGAATGAGAACAACATTCATTATGAAAATGGTGTAAATCCACCGACGTGAATATTCTTAGGTCCCTATAATAAAAACTTTATATTCTTAGGTTGATAAGATCGGCAAAGTAGAAGAATGCAATATACTTATCGCTTCTACGTCGCAATTACGGCAAGGGTACCGGTGATACCTCCGGCCACTTTTCTCTTTTTGATATTTCGCGTGTAACTAAGTACGTAGAAATAAAAATAAGTGCCTTAAGGTAACTCGGAATCGTTTATTTGTGTAATAAAATAACACTTTAAAAATACTTTATCCTTCGTTGTAGACAAAGTTATAAAACGACACGACGTAGTGAAAAATGTGAGATGTCGAAACATTAAAGTTACTCATGGTACGTTCATTTTCTTCGGTAAATATAAAATTTCTCGTTGCAAGTAACCCCTGATAAAATAAAGACGTGTTATGACTGTTATCTGTCTGCAACATTTTCTCACGGAGAAAGCAAAGACATTCCGTTCGAGTGGATAAAAGCGTGCCAGCGTATCGTAGGGTGAAAAAAAAATCGAGAATGGCGGTAGGGTTGCAAATAAAATACTTTAAGGGACAACGGACGACCCTGGAGAGAAGTCTCCACGGACCAGGGACTCGATCAGTCACGGAACAGAGAAAAAAGAATTTTCGATATCGAGTGGCGGAGGCGAGTCGTTTCTCGAGAGTCTTCGAGGGTCATCTAAAGATTCCAATTTGTCCTTCGTGGCTTTGCGCGTTTGACGACAGCCCGAGAAAGCTGGGAGAAAAAACGCGCCGCTTGGAATCTATCGGGGTAGATCGCGAACGCTCTCGACGCTTGACCTTTTACCGTCGATTCGTTTCTAGCGACAAATACACTGTGCTTGAATCGTCGTTATTAAGAGGATTAGACGGTCTACACAGAGGAAACTTGTTTGGGTATTAATTTGAAGGAAATGTAACGCGACTTGACTTTTCCTTTTCGTATATCTTAAAGACTGCGGACATTTTTCTTTTTTAGCGAGCTGTTAAAGAAACTAAATGCGGCTAGTATCGGCGAACTTTAAAGAGGTTGCAAAAATTAATTGCTCTACAAATGTTAGATTCTATCGTTTTTGATTGTATCGAAACATAATTTTAGCCCCGTAGAAATGTTTACGATTATTACGACATTAATTCAAATATTTTGACCTCTCCCTTAACGACACCAGCGGAACGTGAATCGTCAGCATTTTTCCCCACCAAAAATCCGTCGAATTCGAAGCGATCACGCATGAAATTGCCTCCACGAATTTGTTTCTCCCTCGCCGAAGGCGCTGCAACGGATGTTGGTGCATTTCCCCGGATGCACCGGCGCCATCCTATTTGCGGAATGGGAACATTGCGAATTTCCGAAAGTCGCGGCCCATGGGATGCTTTGGGAGTAATCATTGGGTTGTGCTATCCTGTGACGTACTACTCGATTCCCGTGATTCGATCGCTCTAATCGCCAGCTGCGGTTTACATATCCCAACATTCATTTGTTAAGCTAGTGTTCTCCCCTGATAACTACAACGAAACAGTAACAAGATAAATAATATTTATTATAATACTTAATAAATAAATAAATATATAGGTACGTTTATCTAAATATGAAATATCAATAACCGGTGTCTTTATTAAAAGCGAATGATAGGATCATTCGTCATGCTTCTAAACATTTATTTATAAACAAATTTCTTCCACTACTGTACCTATCGAAATTTGTTCAAGTACTAGTTATTTTACCTTACTACTCATGCTTTCTGAAATCCTTTCCCTGTAGTCGCCATCGGATTTCAAAGTTCACACTAACTAACACTGTGAATTTCAAGAATACGCGTATCGTAGAATGAAAGTCGTATAACAGATGAAAAATATGAATTTTCTCCGGAATCTAATAAATATATTTCCTATCGTCTGAAGAATTTAATTGCAACGATTGTTTAACAGCCATTCCCATAGTAGTATCGACGCGTATTGGTAGTCAAGATGCGAGTCCACGGAATCAAGCAATCAGGACCGCGTATAAATCGTTGAAGCACGATTATATAATAAAGAAGATAGGGACTGGCGAACCATACAATTTCTATTACCTATTACCTTGTCAGGGATCAATGAAAAAATTATAGAAAATTGGGATAATTATCAGAATCGGACGAAACAATGAAAACGGGGCGCGTTGGCCGAACTTGGCTAGTACCGATTATGCGAAATCGCATGCAATCGGGCGATCGATAATCGTCACGCGGTTCAAGCTCTGCATGCTATACGCGAGCCTTTGAAATGTTTCACAGGCACACGGGGCAATCGTAGAAATGATTTGTATGCGCTTGAGAGATAATTATTCTATGACTTTACTTGCTTTGGTTTAATCGTATCTCGTATGCAGGTTAAACATCGAAACATTTTGGTTACTATTGAACGCGAGAAACCGTCAAAGAAGAACGTGCATTGTGCACATTGCCATCTGACAGTTGCCATCAGAATTTTTACGGTAGAGAGCGTTAACCGTGTTTGCTCCTATACGAAAAATTCCGCACCGTAGGGTTAAATTTTGAACGATATGTTTTAAGTGAACATCACGATGTCCACGATGTTCACGATGTCCACAATCTCCACGATGTCCACGATGTCTTTGTACATGTAAACGTACGGGAATCTATGGAATCAATCGAAACGGCAACTCTGCTTCTACCGAGTTTCCATTTGTCGAGCGACAGATCGAACGCCATTGGGACTGCAATTATCCTAACTCCATGAATACACCGCGTTTGGAGAAACTGTGGTTTGGACGGTAATGACAGGACGAAAATCTCAATTGTGGTAAACGGTAATCGATAGACTACTTACTATCAAGTTCCTTCAATAATTTCCGCAATGAAACCGCATATGCAGAGTGGACCGTTTAAATGGGAACATTCGAATTTCTCCGTTATTTTGGTTCTATGATAGAAATCTACTGTTTCAAAGGGCGCATGTAATGCTGAGATCATTTTTTTTATCGAGGCCATCGTTATTGTTTTCAACGGAATGGGCTATTTTCTCAAGCATTCGAACG